CCAGGGATTGAACTCAGACCCTTGCGCTTGCCAGGGAAGCGCTTATTCCGCTGAGCCATCTCCCCGGCCCCGACACAATGTCTCAATCATTACAATCCACCCCTTGTCAACTTGGCAACCAGACATTTTTTAAAACCGGTTTTTAGGTTTATGGACATGCTTCTTAACATTTTATCACTTGAACATTATAACACAGGTTTAATTATCATTAAGAATCACTATTAAAAAAAATAAAAATAAAAAAGAATCACTATTAAGGGCTGGCCAAATAGTTCAGTGGATTAAAGCGCCTGCAAGCAGGCGCAGGAGCTGAGGGTTTGATCCCGGGGCCTGCATGCCAGCCCCACCCCTGGGGCGTGCTGAGACCGCAATTGAGACTGAGCATGGTGGTGCACTCCTATAATCCCAGCTCTTGGGAGGCTAGAAACAAAGCAGATCACTATGAGTCCAATCTAGTAGTGAGACCCTGAACATCCTGCAGACTCTTCCCTAATATATATATATTAAAAAAGAATCACTATTAAGTTTATCAACATTGTATTACATTAGAACCATAACATTTGTCCCTGATCCCCCTAAAGATTTATGTGTATCTCTTTATATAAAGGCACTTAGTCTATCTATAAGAGTTATCAAAGTCTTAACTGCTTTAGTGATTTTGAAAAGTCTAAGTCTCAAGTCTCTTTTAGATCTAAGGCAAACTCCTAGCTTTGAGCCCCTGTATAAATGTGAAGTTAAACACTTTTAACATTTAAAGGCACAAGATAAACATTATCATTTGAAGAGGTATACAGGGGCTGGCGAGACAGCTCAGCAGACTAAGCACCTGCTTTGGTAAGCGCAGGGACCAGGGTTCAATCCTCATTCCTGCACATCATGCCGGCCCTTCTCCCAGGGTGTGCTGAGCTGGCAGTTGAGTCTGCGCACGCCTGTAATCCCAGCACTGGGGAGGCTGAAAACAGAAGGATCACTATGAGTCTAAGCTGCATAGTGAGACCCTGTA